TGGCTTGGAGGGGAACTTGCAGGGGGTGGTGTTCCCATGTATCGGTTGCCCTTGTCTTTTTCAATGGAAGAAGTCTTGGGTTTGGAAGGTGTTGTCTAAGGAACTTCGGTGAATTCCTGCAGTGTATCTTGTAGATAGTACACACAGCTGCTACTGAGTACCGATGGTGGAGGGAATGGATGGTGAGGATGTTGTGCCAATTAAGTGGGCTGCTTTGTCCTTAATAACGTTAGAGTTATAGAGTTGCACAGCATGAAAACAGATCCTTCGATCCAACTCGTTCATGCTGACCAGATATTTTAAACTGATCTAGTCCTATTTGCCAGCATTTACCCTATATCCCTCTAAACCCTTCCTGTTCATTGAGTCATAGAGTCATACAGCACGGAAACAGACCCTTTGGTCCCACCAGTCCATGATGCACATAATCCAAAATAAACTAGTCTGACCTGCCTGTTCCTGGCCCATATCCCTCCAAATCTTTCCTATTCACATACTTATCCAAGTGTCTTTTAAACGTTGTAGTTGTACCCACATCCACCAATTCCTCAGGAAGTTCATTCCACATGTGAACCACCCTCTGTAAAAAATTTGCCCCTCATGTCTTTTTTAAATGTCTCTCCTCTCACCTTAAAAATGCAGCCCCTCATCATGAACTCCCCCATTCTAGGAAAAGACAACTACCATTAACTCTGTCTATACCTCTCATTATTTTATAAACTTCTATAAGGCTACCTCTCAATCTCCTAGGCTCCAGTGAAAAATGTCCCAACCTATCCAGCCTTTCTTTATAACTCAAACCTTCCATACCAAGCAACATCCTGGCAAACCTTTTCTGAACCCTCTCAAGCTTAATAACATCCTTCCTATAAGTGAGCAACCAGAACCAGGCATGGTATTCCAGAGGAGGCCTCACCAATGTCCCGTACAATCTCAGTATGAATTCCCAACTCCTATACTCAAAGGGCTCAGCAACAAAGGCAAGTGTGCCAAATGGCTTTTTAACCACTCTGTGAGTGTTGTTAGAGCTACAGGCAGAGGCATGGAAAGTGTTCCATCACAATCCTGACATCTGTCTTGTAGCTGGTGGCCAGGCTTTAGAGAGGCAGGAGGTGAGTTATTCACTGCAGGATTACGAGCTTCTGACCTGCTGTTATATCCATTGGTACTTGTAAGGCTTGTCTGATTTAATTTCTGGTCAATGATCACCCCCAGGCTATTAATAGTGATGGTAGTGCCATTGAATGTCAAGATGTGGAGGTGCCAGTGTTGGACTGGGGTGGATAAAGTCAAAACTTACACAACATCAGGTTACAGTCCAGCAGGTTTATTTGAAATCACAAACTTTTGGAGCACAGCTCCTTTGTGAGATGCAGTGAGAGGAGAGCACACAAACACAGAGTTTATAGGCAGAGAAATGAAGGGCATGGAGATCAAAGGATCATACAACTGGTGTGGGTGGAGTGAACAAACCTAAAATGGCCATGGCAGAGAAACTGGTTAGATTGTCTCTTATTGGAGATGGTCATAGCCTGGCATTTGAAAAATATGAATATTACTTGCCATTTGTCAGCCTGAACCTGGATATTGTACAGGTCTTGCTGCATTTGAACATGGACTACTTGAGTACCTGAGGAGTTGCAAATGGTGCTGAACATTGTGCAATCAGTGACGAACATCCCCACTTTGGACCTCTTTACATTTTTGCCTGCACTCTCCATTACTGAGTTCCGACATTGTCAGGAATGAGTTTGTAGATGGGGCTTCATTCCAGGTTATTGGTAGAAGTCCTACTATAAGCCAATTTAGATACAAAATCAGAAATTGCTGGAAAAACCCAGCAGGTCTGTGGAGAGAAAGCAGAGTTAATGTTTCAGGTCTAGTGGCCCTTCTTCAGAATGGCAAGCCAATTTAACCCTCTTTCAGCTTTGAGCGAACTATCCTCCTTTGGGTGGGAAAGGGGAAGACACAGAGAGAGCAATGCCTTTCCCCAAAGTAAAATGCAACTTTGGTCTCACAAAGACCCTAAACAACCATGGTAAAGTTCCCATCCTACATTTAGACTCCATTCCCATTGTGAAAAGCATTACCATTCCATTTGCCTTTGTATCCACTTGCTGTACCTGCATATTAACTTTGTGATCCATGTAACAGGATACCCAAACCCATCTCTACCATAACATTCTAAAATCTCGCTCCATTTAGACAATCTGCTGCTTTTTCTGTCCCTCCTGCCAAAGTGGATACTTTTACATATCACCACATTACCTTCCATCTCTTAAATTTTTGCATCATGAATTAACCTATCGATATCTGTTTGTAGATTCTATGCCACATCTTGACAACTTACTTTCCCTTCTATCTTGGTATCATCAGAAATCTTGGGTATGATACATCCAGTCCCTTCATCCTATTTGTTGATGTGGATTGTAAATAGTTGACGCCTGACCAATCCCTGTGAAACTCAACTAGTTACAATTTTCCAATCCAAAGTGACCCTCTTTCATCCCTACTCTCTGCTCTTGTTTGCTAAGAAATCCTTAATGCGTGACGTTACCTCCTACACAAGCTCTTAATTTGAGTAGCAAACTTTGATGTGACACATAGTATGTAGTTGTGTGTCCCTACTGTGATGAATGTCATGTGTTACAATGATACATACTCTGCCAACTATATTAAACAATGGAAATTGTCTCCTTGCATCTATGTGAACTGTACTCCCTACCAGCTGTGACAACTGTATCGCTGCATCAACTATGTTATTAACATTTCCCTGCTGTTGGTCTCAATGATAACCCCCAATCCAATCCAGCTACATAATCACAAACAAGGCATTCCAGTTGTGCCAGCTGTGATTCAGCACCATGCTTTCTGTCAGCTATTATTTACACTGACTAGTTAAAAATACTTTAAAAATATTACATGGCATTCCATTATGAGTCTTCAATTAACATAGTTAGGTCAAAATACTAAATTATACTGGAACAAGGCTCAAATAATGTAAACACAGGAAATATTTGTTGGTTGTGAAATCGCTGCCTTAAAAGCCTTTTTTTTATTTTCAAGGCAGATTACAATTCTCTTCTCAGTTGTGTATGAAAGCACCATAAATATTAATTAACAGAAATATTTGTAAAAGCACTTGGAACACTGGAAGCAACATGATATCAAATGTTAGCTGGATGCAATGATTAAATATATTTAGACAACAGGGTTAGAGATAAAATGCATCGGCCTAAAAGACTGTGAGAAATAGGAACAGGAATAAGCCATTTGGCCCCTGGAGCCTGCTCTACCATTCAATGGGATCATGGCTAATCCAACACTCCTCACATCCACTTTCCCCCTTATCCCCATAATATTTGATTACCCAACTGATCTATCTCAGCCTTAAATATACACAAGGACTCTGCCCCCACAGCTCTCTGTGGCAGAGTTCCAAACACACTCAACCCTCAGAAGAAATTCCTCCTCATCTCATTCTTAAATTGGCGCCTTTATTCTGAGACGATGTCCTCTGGTCCTAGACTCTCCCCTGAGGGGATACCATCCTCTCATCATTTACCCTGTCAAGCCCCTTTAAGACTCCCATACGATTCAATGGGCTCGCTTCTCATTCTAAATTAGAACATTTAACCTGTTTAACCTTTGCTCATAAGACAATCCTTCACTACCAGGGATCATTCTAGTGAACCTTGTCTGAATTGCCTCCAAATGAAATGGTATCTTTCCTTAAATAAGGGAACCAAAACTGCTGACAGTGCTCCATCACCTTATACAGTTGCTGTAAGACTTCCCTACTCTGATACTTCAACCCACTTGAAATAAGGGCCAATGTTCAATGTGCTATCTTTTTGCGTTTTGTGCACAAGTCCACCCAAGTCCCGTTGTGTTGCAGCTTTCTGCGTTTTTTTTCTCCATTTAAGTAATATTCTGTTCTTTTGTTCTCCCTTCCAAAATGAACCACTTCACATTTTCCTATAGGGTACTCCATTACCTTTCCAGAGATTGTGTTCAATTTGGTTTAGAATAACTAAAGTTGAAGTGAATCTCCAGGAGATTATGCTGAGAAGACCAAAGGATTTATACATTCTCAATTCTCATTTGCCTGCTCCAAATATGAATTAAGTTTTTGATTTTTGTTTGGGAGATTCAGATTTCTTTTTAAAATAATTGCAATCATATAGCAACATGTATATCATTTCAAATGTTTTCCAGCCAATAAAAAAGTCACTTATAATGTGGAAAAACGTAGCAGACATCTTGTACACAGCATGATCCTGCAAACAGCAATGGGATAATGACAATACAATGTGTTTAGTGAGATCAGCTTCATTGTAGCCCACAGAAGTGTTACACTGATTATCTTTTCTCGGTTCAGTAGAATCTGAACTCTCAATTCTGCTCCAATTGAGTTGAGGCTGACAGCCACAGAACTGTTTGTGCCTAAAATCTTCCAACTTTAAAGCCAAGCTTTGGGCAACTCTTAAAACAAAGTATCTGTATTTTTTATAGTTAGTGAAAAAGTGAATTCTGTTACAAATTTGAAAAAATGTAAAACTTTCCAAGGTGACACTTTAAATTTGAGATGATCATTTCTGTCCTCATTAATAATTAACTTGATAGTCTGTGTATTTTGAATAATATATCATCATTACAAAGCACACTACTCTAGGTACTTTAAATTGCTATTTATTAAGTTATTTATTACTTTAACCAATATACAGAATATTAGATTTTTAAAATTTTATATTCTTCCTTTTCATGCAGTCTTTTCTGCACGCATTTAAGAAATGGAAACTATTCCTAAACTGATGCAGTTATAATTTATGCTGGTTTGCATCTCGTTCCTAAAATGAATAACAAATCGAATCATATTCCTGCAGGCATACAATTATTATGTTTTCATTTTACTGAGTTTATTATTGCATTGTCATTTACTTCAGAATGAGACAAAACACTAACAGCATGTATATTTGCATAAAATAGAAGTCAGGAAATTGATTCACGTGCTTCTTTCATTTCCATTTTGCTACTACAATCATTTAAATAGCTATTGTGTGTCAAACATATCATACCCTGAGTATTGCAAAATGCAACAAATAAATAATCATAAAAAACAACTTTGATTGGAAAGCAGTGAGACTAATGAATACAATCAATTGACAATGTTTTGTTTTGTTGAACAGTTCTCAAATGTACTGATGTTCTGAATGGTTTCTTGATCTTGAATGCTACAGGCATCTATGGTGCTATCGTCACTGGCATTGGTGCTAATCATGGAAGAGATACTAGCAATGAGAGAATGCATATTTTTGGCATATATATTTCGAATATTCATGTAAGGTAAGGAACAATCCTCTGCAAGTTCTGTATTGCAGTGATTAATATCCACCATTTTATGCTTCCTATAGTATTTCGAAAATTTGTTGAAAATGATAGTGATGGGTAAAGCAACTACCAAAATCCCACATATAATGCAGACAGTCCCTATGACCTTTCCAAATAGAGTGACTGGATATGTGTCCCCATACCCAACTGTGGTCATGCTGATGGTTGCCCACCACCAGCTCATTGGAATACTATGAAGCCCTGACTCAGCTTCATCTTTTTCAACAGAATAAACAAGGACAGAGAATATGGAGATGCCAACTGTCAAAAACAAAAGCAACAGCCCAACTTCATGGTAGCTGTGCCTGAGCGTGGCTCCCAAGGACCGTAGTCCCACTGAATGCCTGGCCAGCTTCAGGATGCGGAATATCCTCATTAGACGAAGGATTTGAATCACTTTACCCACATTTTCCAACTCCTCGCTGTCCTCATCCATCGTCTCCACAGCTAGTGTGAAGTAAAACGGTAGAATTGAAACAAAGTCAATGATATTCAAAGGGTTTTTGAAGAATTTCTTTAGACATGGTGCAACTGTAAATCTTGCAATGAATTCCACAGTGAACCAAACTATACATGCGATCTCCAATCCTTCTAGAGCAGGATGAACAATCTCTTTGCCTTCCTCATCAAATTGTTGGAACTCGTGCATGCTATGAATGCACATAGCCACAATGGATGTAAGGACAACACTTAAAGATAAAATTGCCAAGGTTTTGGCCAAAAGCGAGTGCCCAGGATTTTCTAATCTGAGCCATGCATTCTTTCTTACTTTCCCACACCACATGTTGTCAAATTTATCCAAATCTTTATCCAAGGCTGATAGTTCTTCAAAGGAAGAATCAATACTTTCATCACTTTTCTGCTCCCAATCTTTATCCACCTTCCTCTCTTGGTACCTGTTGCTGCAGCAAGAGTCAATAAAAAGTTCATTAATTCCCCAGTACTCAATCTCTTGGCTGAAAGAAAACGCACACAGCTCCTCCATGACATGAAGTTTCCCAGTGTAGTAGAAGTTCAAAATGTAGCGGAATAAACATGGATTCCGATCAAAGTAATATTCCTTATCCACAACATTGTAATCGTCGCACAGCTCTAAAATAGCCTCCTCAGTGTCACAGTTCAGAAGTTTTCCTAACCTTGTTTGAGGAAACCGCTGCAGGGTACCTTGGTCAACTCTCTGCTTGTATCCTCCCACATTTATATTGATGAGTTCATGATCAGCCGCTGTCCTTTCAAACATCTGCCCGTAAACCATGTCGACAAGTCCTCATCGATTTGTTGCTTCCATTTAATATTTGGAAATAATAGACACCTTACACCTAAAATACAACAATTGTTACTTAACATCATACAGTTGCAAAGGTGGAGGACATGGTAAGAAATATCTAATACCATTCTAAAACAGAGAGGTCAAAACATAGACTCCCAGATTCCAATGAACTACACAAATGTTTTAATACTCATCCATATAGTTAAAATTGGACCCAAAGGTTTAAATATTATCTCCTACAATTATTAACCAATCCAGCAAATAAAAAGGTAAAAGAATAAACAGATAAAGGCTAAAAGACCGAACAGTTGTTTATATTCACAATTGAAACTTGTTTACTTTTCAGTAGAGTTGAGGCTGTCAATAAAATTGAGGAGCACTGTTAAGAGTATCAAGCATTTATCCAATGATGTTGCCAACTAAAATTTCAAAGCACTGTTTTGATAGATAATATAATTGGATAGCCATTTGGATTCAAGTATTCACGTAAAGGGTGACAAATTTATTGGAACAAGTGACCAAGGAGTCTATGGAATGGATAACATTGGCAAACTTTAAGAAAAGGAGATAAATCAATTTAGTTTGCAAAAACTGTTTCAGAGTACACAAAGGTACTTGTCAAACTTTTATATAGGCAGATAGCATATTGAGCCTTTTCTTCCCAAATTTACTCATGGGACATGGGCATTGCTGGTTGGCCAGCATTTCTTGCCCATCCCTAGTTGCCCTTGAGAAGGTGGTGGTGGGCTGCCTTCTTGCACTGCTGTTGGTTGACCTACAATTCAATTCCAATTGCCCATTGGAATCTTCAATTTCCCAGGCAATTCCGTTGGAGTCCATGCTGTTTGTTGAAAGGATGTGCATAAGTGGCATTGTGCAGGAGAGCAAAAGTGACTTTTACATTTGGCCATTAAGTACGTTAAATGGTGCATTGGTAGAACTTAATTGAATCTAAGAATAATGAGGAAAGCAGCAGTATATGAAGCTGGTGGTACACTGTCCAAATAATGTTTCTGTTCCTCATTATCCTTCCCCTCCTCCTTATAATTTGTTCCTCCCTCAGAATGATCCTTAAAGACTCTGTGCTCTGTGTTCCTCCTGCAGGTCCAAACGTTATTGCAATGCAACGTTTTGCACAACTCCATACACTATAACTGTTTTGAAGCCCATACCTGTCGCATTTTGAATGACACCTCCAGTTCCATGCAGGAAGCTGAAATATACCTTCAGTATGCCAATGGCTTTGTTGATAACTAATCTGGTGGTCACACAACATTAATTGTAGATATTTTCTAACCAATCTGTTCAAAGATGTTATTATATGCCTCTGGAGCAGGTGGGACTTGAACCAGCAACTCCTAGCTCAGAGGTAGGAACATTACCACTGCACCACAACAGCCCATAACATTCATTGTCCCAGTATTTAAATTTCATTCCTCAATAATTTGAGAGATGTTACTTTCTAAGCATTTCACAGCAATCAGTAGTAAATCAGCATTGAGGAGCAAGGAGATTAGCGAGGGTGAACTACTGCAGGATAACAGCATCGAGGAAGCTACCTGGGAATGTTGTGCATGCCTAAACATCTTTTTGTGTTTGTACACCATGTGGCCATTGAAGGAGTGGAAAGTCTTGTGGTTGACAAACACTCCTGATAATCAATGGTTATTTTAATTGCCATAAGTGGGAAGTCAATCAGAGCCACAATCCTACATGCTCATTCATTCTGTCTGATACCATTGATGATAAAGATCATTGAATTGTCAGGCCCTGGCAAAGAAATCATCAATCACCTGTGTTCTGTATTTGGCTGCCTCCAATTGCGAGGTCCCACAGGTATGACCAAATAAATCTTGGATAGATGCAGAAGCAAAGATGCTTGAAGGCAGTGACTAATGAAACATGGCCAGGAGAGTCTCTCTTAGCAGCACGATTTACTCCAGCAGACTGCAAGTGCATGCATGATCTGATGCAACATGTGTCACTACAAGTCTTTATAAGGCTTCTCACGACACTGGTATTCAAGCAGGCTGTGGAAGGTTACCCTCTGCCTATAGACATTATGCTGATATGGTATCCTGGGAGCTGCACTTCTCTGCTGCTCTGTGTTCTCTTGCAGGTCTGAGATGCCCAAGAACAACAGGCTGTTACTGATCAGTTTGGTCCTTAACTGAATTCCTAAGTAACCACAGTATCAACAGTACTGTTGCTGATCAAATCAATCAGAAATCCCAAATGCAGATTAGACTGAAGAACCACCAGGTGTAGAGACCATACATCACAGGAGCAGAAGCAGGTCATTCAGCCCTTCAAGACTGGCCTGCCATTCAATGAGACCATGGCTAATCTGAAAATCTTCAACTATTGCTGCTTTTGTTACTTGTATTGTAATATAAATGCTGATTGTGCCTCAGATACTGCTGGAAGTACTTGTATATGTTAGAATATTGATATTTTGGATAAGTATAAGACTATCCATTTTGATCACAGGAATAGAAAGGCAACTTAATATCTAAATAGTGAAATACTTAAGTGCACCAGCGCAGAGGGATCTGGGTGTCTTTGTGCATGAATCACAAAAATAGTATGCAGGTTCTAGCAGGAATTAAGCAAGGCAAATGGAATTTTGGCATTTGTTGCTAAAGGAAGAGAGTATAAAGTTAGGGAAGTGTTGCTGCAACTGTACAAGGCATTAGTGTGACTGGGATCTGGCGTATTGCATACAGCTTTGGTCCCTTTACTTGGGTAGGAATGTAGTTGCATCAGAGGCAGTTCAGAGGAGGTTCACTAGATTGATTCCAGAGATGAGGGGTTTGCTTTATGAATAGAGATTGAGCAGGTTAAGCCTACACCCTCTGGAATTCAGAAGAATAAGAGGAAATCTAATTGAAGTACATAAGATGCTAAAGGGATTGATAAAATAGACACAGAAAGGATGCTTCCTTATGTGAAACAATCTAGATTAGGAAGTCAGTGTTAGGATAAGGGGTAGCAGATTTAAAACAGACAACGAGAAATTATTTCTCTCAAGGGATTGTGAATCTGTGGACTTCACTATTCCAGAGTACTGCAGATGCTGGGGAGTTAAGTAAATTTAAGGAGGGGGGTAGACAGATTTTTAATTACTAATGGATTAAAGGCTTATGGAGAGTGAGCAAGAAAGTGGAGTCAAGGCCAAAATGAGATTAGTCATGGTCCTATCGAATAGTGGAGCAAGCTCGAGGGGCTGAATGATCTAGTCCTGCTCCTACTTTTTATGATCCAGTGATTGTATGGGGTTTTTCTGCATCATGGCCAATTTGATTAGGAGAGGTGTGTACGTGTATGAAACATCTTGGCATGGTAACTCAGTTCATTAATCTGTGCTGCCTTAATCCTACAATCACCTCCAGTGGTGTTAGCCACATTGGCACATTGGAATTCTCTCTAAATCCAGCCACCTTAATTTCAATCTGTTCAAGATTTTCAAGCCAGGAGATTTCTTGTGGCAATCAGTCATCTCCAGCTGGAGAAGTGTCAGTGAATTAGCGTGCAAGCATACAGTGAGCACATACAGATGCATTAACAATTCTGGCAAGGCCACTGGTTCAATGACATTGACCAAGAACCAGTGCCCAGTTGGATGGATGTGACTTGCAATATTCACCTCCAACATCCTTTTCAGACAGGGATAATCCCGCAAGTCCAGTGTAATTCCAAAGTCATTGCTTTCTTAAAAAAGGTAGGAAAACCAGGCAACAATCCCAAAAGCAATTATCCCTTCATCTTCTGTCTACAGCATAAAAAATGGCAGACTTAACTAGATAAAATCAGTTTTACAAATTTCCCTCCTAAAAACAGGAAGTTGGCCAGAGAAGGAAGAGTGACTGATCCTTGCAGTTACTTCCAACAGAGGCAGAATTTCGTAAATGATTGAAGACTGGAGCCATGTTCTTTCAACACTATCTGGTGCAAAATTATGTTATGAAGCTTTGAACAATTGATCAATACCACAAATCTTCTTAAGTTTATTAACACCCTTTTCTCATCAATCCTAAGCTGTGGGCATCACTGGCAAAGTCAGCATTTATTTCAAATACCCAATTGCCCTTGAGAACGTGGTGATGGTAGGTCACCTTGTTAACAATTGAGTTTATTTGCCACACCTTTTCAGAAGACAGTAGAAAGTCAACCAGACTGTTGTGGTTCTGGGGTAACAAAGGCCAGACCATGACAGAGGAGACATTTCCTTCCTTAAAAAGGACATGATGGGTGTTCACAACAAATGCCTACTCACTATGGATGGGAGGAAATGGCCTAGTGGTATTATCGCTGGGCTGTTAATCCAGAGACCCAGATAACATTCTGTGGAACCGAGTTCAAATCCTGCCACAGCAGATGGTGGAATTTGAATTCAATAAATATTTGGAATTAAGAGTCTAGTGATGACTGTAAATCCAATGTTGATTGTTAGGGAAGAAGCCACCTGATTCACTAATGTCCTTTAGGGCAAGATCCTGCCATCCTTATCTGGTCTGGCCTACATGTGACTCCAGTCCCAGAGCAATATGGTTGACTCTGGGCAATTAGGGATGGACAACAAATGCTACCTAGCCAGCAACACCCTCATCCTGTGAATGAATAAAGAAAAAATTACTGAGAAGAGCTTTTTTTTAAAAAAATCCCTCCTCACATATTGGCATTACCTCAATAACATTGGACAAAGGAAACTTGTCAAGAAACATTCTGGCATGAGAAACTACAGCCAGAACAACTTTGCACTGAAGAGCATCGAGTTCCTCGGAGTGACGATAACTGACAACTTGTCCTGGGCTTCCCACGTAGATGCAACAGTCAAGAAGGCACAACAATGCCTCTTCTTCCTCAGGCGGCTTAGGAAATTTGGCAGGTCCATAAGGTCCCTCACTACAGATGCACCATTGGAAGCATAGTGCCTGGGTCTAGAACGGTCTGGTACGGTAACTGCTCTGCCCAGGACCATAAGAAACTAGAGAAGGTGGTGTGCACAGCCCAGACCATCACGGAAGCCAACCTCCCATCTATGGACTC